AAATCATCTCTCAGAAAGATCACATCCTTGTCACAATTTGTCTTTAGGCAATCCATCTTTCAAATGAAAAGTAAAAACGGAGGTCCTGATCACTTGTGGTCAAAATTACCATTTGTGGTGAACCTTTTCAAGGAAAGGGTTATTAGCCCCCAAGGTGTTGGTTAAATTCCACCCTGAGTTATTACATGTTGTCTCTCTAATGTCCCAATATAGTTGGATTCTGTATTTTTACTTCCTGTCCTAAACAGTTGTATGGTGGTGGCATTTGCTCTGAAAAAGTTGTCATTTTCCATCGCCAAAGTTACATACCTTCTCCTCCCCAAGCCTCTTTTATTTAATCTTGTCATCTTCTAGCTGACTTTGTACCAATATTTCAAGCTACAGAATATATAAGGTACTAACTCATGGGAAAGAATACAAGGATTTAGTTTCATCTCTCTTCTCCAGGGCCTATATCATTCTTAAGAGTTGCTTCTTTTCTATCCATGTGACTTTCTACACACAGCCAAGCAAAGATTTATAGAGAGTAGGAGTAAGCAGTATGGATTTCAGTGACCCAGATTCCCATCTGAATTACAGCCTTTAGAGAAAATGGAGGTTCAAGTATATGAATTCAAACAGAAAAAGAAGGTCCCAAACAGACTATTTGTAAACACTCTCCATAGCATTCTTCTAGAATGTGAAAAGCGTTATTATTTTTGTTTGTTTTTTCTGTCAAAAAAAGATGTTTATTTGGATTATAAGCAAAAGATATTCATTCTTTTTTCATCAGTTCAGAAAACTAACTTACTGAGAGAAAAGATGTGCATTATTTTTGCTTTTTCTCCGATACCATATTGCATGACTGACCTACTGAGCACATTTTGCTATCCATTTCAGCTGACCTTTCTAGTTCTTATTTGCCCTTACTTGTATTTAATAGCCATAGCAGTATTTTTTTTTCTTTCTAGCATTGATTGACAGTGGAATATTCTGGCTAATAGCTACAGAGTCAAACCACAGACCTAGACACTGTACAGACTGTACATCCCTTGGAGTTTGCCAGCAGACTGTTCTTTGTGAAATACTACCAAGTAATTATGAATTCTGGAATAACACTTTCTTGGCTATTTCTAACATTAATGTGGAGTACATTTATTAGGTCTTCTCTTGCCATTAGAAATGGAGACTTTTATGCAAGCATTTTGTGTGCCGTACAATGCATGTAAAATAAGTGCTTTCATTTACTAATCCATTGTATGCCTTGCATGAATATAGGGCCCCATGTGGGAATAACCTAATCAAAGAGGTGGAAAGTGCATGGATTTCCAATTCTTCCATCACAGTTTGGGGTTTGCTCTGCTATTATTATATTATAGCAGGGGCACTTCCTCTGTTACAAGAGACATTACACTCTTCTCTCTAGAAAGCCCTCTAGCCTCCAGCTCCCCTGCCTTCCTCTGACAGTCTAGCTCCCGTGAAAGCTCTTGGTGCCAAGGATCCTGCAACCGTCATTGCCCTCAGCACCCTGTATGGTTCAGAAGGGATAAATCTTGTGGACTCTCCAGTAACTTGTGAGGCTTCACCCCAAAGGTTTGTTTGGAAGACAGAACCAATGCACATGCTTAGCAGATTTGCTAGGGTAAGGAAAGGGAAGGGGGGACATGTGGTAATAGTAGCCATTCCAGACCCACATTCTATCCTTATCACCACCACCAAGATACCAGCAAGTGCACAGGCATACATGCCCCGTAGCTATTGACTTAGTAATTGCAAGGCTTGATTAGTTTACAAATATGATATGAATACTTGATATTCTTGACCTGTGTTTTATATTTATTAGCTAACTAGAAGATTTACTTGGCATTGCTCTGGTCCTTACCTCAATTTTTATTTTTTGGAAAATAATATGAAATGAAAACGTGCATGCTACTTTTAAATCATTGCTCCGGGGTTGGGATGGGTTCAGTATACTGGCTGCTCTGGGGAAAGAAGAGTATCCAGGCTTCTCTCACCACAGCAGCTTGGAGCCAGCTGAGAAGCACCTCTCCATAGCTGCTGCAGCTCCAGTGGGCACAGCTGGGGGAAAGGAGAAGGGGTGCATGATCCCAGCTGTGGCAGGTCCAGGTTTGTCTGTCCCCTGCATTCCCCAGCCACAGTAAGAACTGCAGCAAACTCTGCACTTTCCCCTCTCTCCATGACAAAGGGCAACAACCATCAATGTTCCTATACAAATGGAGAAGGATTTACATAACCCCCTGCCTTCCCTAAAGGGCTCCTGGAAGCTGGGAGGCCTCAGGGCTGGGTCAATCTCCAATTGGAGGGGGGCAGCCAGACCCTTTCTCCTGCCTGGTGATTCTGTCTCTTTTCTGTATGGTTATGAGACGCAATCCCATTCCAGGCACATCCTACTTTTCTGGCACAATCAAACCCTTAAGCTGCTTTAAGTTAGGATAAGAGGAAGCTGTATACCCAATTTGGTGGTCCTAGCTCTTACCATTTAGAAGGAGTTATTGAACAGACAGACAAACTCTCTCAAATATATAGTAGTTGTCTGTAAAGTATTGTGAAGATGGAAAGTGCTATAGAAGTAGTGAGTAACTTTAGTGATAATAATAGTAGTGTTACAGCTGATTAAAAACCTACAATAGAAAATAGATACAATTCTGTGCCTAAAAACTCAGTTTTTGCTCAGAAAAACACCCCAATTCTTCACAGGTGTAATTCTTCTGACCACTTCCTACATATTTTACCATTGTTGCAATGTTATACAGAATTCAAAATACATAATGTGATTTGCAAAACAAATAAGGTGAGAAAACTAAAATCTGAAAAACATACAGCTCCTTTCCAGTGCAACCTAATCCTTTCCCCATTTGAAGTCAATGGGAAAAAATCTTGCCCCTTAAATGGTAATTATTAGCCCTATAATTATTCATTTTGCTCCAAGAATTCTTATTTTGGTTCCCGTTCAATGCCTACTTTACATGTACAGTATTGCTTTAGTTTTAAATTTTTCATTGTGTATGTATGTGTTGTTGGAAATTATTAATAACATGAAATATTGTGGAAAACATTCAGACTACTCTTGAATATTAGGGAACTTTAAGATAGGCAAAATTAACTTAAAATGTACTTATAATAATTATAATATCTAATGTCTAATTTTTACAAGTCAGTGGGGGAAAAACATTCTCCCAGTCAGGTGACCTCCTTATAATCTTCCTGTATGCCCTTGTTCTAGTAGGCCTAGATCTGTCACTAGTCCTATAAATAGCAGTAGCTGTAGCAATAAAAAGACACAAAACAGAAAGTCATTTATCAAGCAGGTACTGCCATCTAGTGTCACAAATGAATTTTGTATCCAATTCTTTGACACACATACTGCCCCCCATCCATTTTAAATGTAATAAAAGCAAAAGTTCTGGGAACTAACAATACCTCATTTTCACATACACACATTCACCCACACATATATGTACATATAAAATATATGTGGGCAAACACAACAAAAATCTTTTGAAAGGGATTCACAAAGGTATTTAGACATCGAACTCCCACCTATTTGTGCATGTGATATAAGAATTTATATTGACCACAAAGGCACTTCTTAGTCCTTTGTGTTCACCTTCTGTAAAATTAAATGTTTTTGGTTATTTAAATGTGTATATTCAAGTAGAAATGGAATTTGGAATCTTGTCATATGAATATTTATACTAACAATGTTTGATCATTGTTTCAAGGAACAGATACAGTTTTATTTGACTGCTATAACCACTTACAGTTAACAAAGAGATCTGAAACAGTGGTTATCAAATATTCACAGAGAAGTATTAGTGACCAGTCCTTTTAAATTATTTTAAACAATGCATCAGGTAATTTTGAATAATGAACAAACTTATGAAAGTTACAGTCCATGCAATGATAAACCACTAACAAACAAAATGAACTGATCACACAAATGAATTATTTTTTTAATTACTTGCAGTAGAAATGATGTATAAAACCCTCTCAAGTTGTTGATCTTTGGATCTGCTCAGTATTGTAAAAGGCATACTCCATGAACAACAGGAATCCTTCAGAAAAAGATAACCATATTTATTGTAATTTTTAATATGATTTTGATTACTTTATGGTCTTTCTATTATGTGTAATAACCTTTTCTTAGACATATTATTTGTCACAAAGGCCACTTCAAGTCATTTAAAAAAGTAGTTGTATAAAAATTAATATGAATAGAAATGTTTTAATGATTGTCTTTTAATTAACTGAAAAGAACATTTTAGTTGAACTGAAACATTTACCTGTAGTGCTTCCAGTCCAAATCCATGAGCTATTGTGTTAGTGCTTGAGAACCATAACAACTAATAGAAACAGAATTTACAAGACCAGTGCATTTTCCTTGTCCTAGCTGAATGAAAAAGAAAAAGTTAATCAACAGCATAAATTGTGGAATATATATTCGTTTATATTTATTAAAATATAAAATATAGGTTTAATATTCTCTTAGTAGCACAGTCGATAACATTTGAATTTTATTTTTTAAAATATATGATTTGTAACACAATTCTGGGTCTTAAAGTGTACATGCAAAGACACTCACGTATCTAACTTTGAGGTGACGCATCTTACACCTGTACAAGTAATGAAAATTGGCTAAGACCTGGTTTCCCCTAACAGATTTACATCAAGATTTTCTCACATCTTCATCTCTAATATCCTGCTTTCCCTGTCTCCAATGAGAGGGGGAAAAAGGTTTTTGCCCCGATACTTAAATCAACCTCCTCTCTTCCTATTGTAAATAATGAGCTAAAATCATATTTTGGAATAGAGGGATATATGAACCTGTAAGCATTGTCCAGCATAACAATTTAGAATTAGGAACCAGTTTTATAAGGGTCTGTTTACTCTCTCATCACTTATTTTTACTTTAGTTTGCAGTGTAGGTGTAGCATTTAGCTTTCCGAATGTTCTGGAACAGTGATGTGGTCTCACTTTGACCTTTTTTCTCTTCTTTCCAGCATACGTGCTAGGAAGCATGCAAGACTAGTAACCAGCAAAAGGTCATAGAGGAAGTTCTTGAACAAAGGTGGGTTAAGTGGGGGAAGGGGAAACAGAAAGGATGGAATGAGTCAGTGTGACACAGTTGTCCAGCTGGAAACCACAGCGAGGTCTTCCACTATACTGCATGAGCTTCTTAAAAGCAAAATCCAGACAAAGTCTATCTCTCTATAAATCTTTTCCCCTTTCCATTACTAGTTGGGTATTGTTGGCTCTAAGCCACCTGATTTTACTATGATTTATTAACTGCTATGCATTATATATGAGATTCAGGTTTACTGAAGAGTTACCCTTATGGTCAATGTTGCATACAAATCAGCTACTGTTAGAGAGGTTTATGGCATCTTTTTATGTTGCTAGGAGTTCTGTTAGGTAGTGTTAGAATTTGTGACTTGTAAAATGAACACACACACACACAGGAAGAGAGCGAGAATCCTCATTTGTTTCACATGGTCTGTAGCAGCACATGGAGTCTATCTTTTTTTAACAATAGTGATAGCCCTGCTTGATCTAGAAACAAAAGAATAAACACAAGAAGTCCTAAAAATCTGAGCACATAGCAGTTGAAGACATTGAACCTTGGCTACTCTGGTGCAAGCAGCTTAAAAAGTCACAGAAGCAGCCATCTCTTACGCAGAATACAAATATGTCAAAGAAGGAAACACACGTAAAGGACAATATGTCCTTTTTCATGGAGGCAGTCTGGAATAATATTACATACCATCTGAGATAAACTGGTGCCAATAAAAGTGTCAAGTTCTGCTGTCTTTCCTCAGGCAAATCTCTCATTGACTGCAGTGGGAATTTTTCCTGGGTGTGGGCTATGGATTTTGGCTTTACGTTAAATTATTGATAGAAATGTAGCCGTGTTAGTCTGGGGTAGCTGAAGCAAAATGCAGGACAATGTAGCACTTTAAAGACTAACAAGATGGTTTATTAGATGATGAGCTTTCGTGGGCCAGACCCACTTCCTCAGATCAAATAGTGGAAGAAAATAGTCACAACCATATATACCAAAGGATACAATTAAAAAAATGAACAAATATGAAAAGGACAAATCACATTGCAGAACAGAAGGGAGATGCGGGGTGGGGGAGGGGGAGGAAGGAAGGTAAGTGTCTGTGAATTGATGATATTAGAGGTAGGGAGAGTGGGATGTTTGTGAGTTAATGGTATTAGAGGTGATAATTGGGGAAACTATCTTGGTAATGGGTGAGATAGTTCAAATGTTTGTTGAGTCCTTTTTGGAAAGTGTCGAATTTTAACATGAATGACAGTTCAGAGGATTCCCTTTCAAGTGCAGATGTAAAAGGTCTTTGTAGCAGAATGCAGGTGGTCAAGTCATTGAGAGAGTGTCCTTTCTGGTTAAAATGGCAAGAAACTGTTTTCTCTTTGTGATCTTGTCTGATATCTGTTTTGTGGGCATTAATCCTTTGGCGAAGTGTCTGAGATGTTTGTCCAATGTACATAGCAGACGGACACTTTCGGCACATGATAGCGTAGATTATATTTCTGGATGCGCAGGAATATGTGTTCTTGATCTTATAACTCACTTGGTTAGGTCCAATAATGGTATCAGCAGAATGAATATGTGGACAAAGCTGGCAACGGGGTTTGTTGCAAGGGAAGGTACCAGGGTTGGTATTAGTGTGGTATGTCCTGTGGTGGTTGGTAAGAATCATCTTGAGGTTAGGTGGTTGTCTATAGGAGACTATGGGTCTGTCTCCCAGAGCCTCTTTGAGTATGGTATCCTGTTCCAATATAGGCTGTAGTTTATTGATAATGTGTTGGACAGGTTTAAGTTGGGGGTTGTAGGTGATGACAAGTGGTGTTCTATTGTTGGTTTTCTTGGGTCTGTCTTGAAGTAGATGGTTTCTAGGTATTCGTCTGGCTCTTTCAATTTGCTTTTTTGTTTCTCTGGGTGGGTAGTTGAGATTTATAAATGCTTGGTAGAGATCCTGAAGCTTCTGGTCTCTGTCAGTGGGGTTAGAGCAGATGCGGTTGTATCGAAGGGCTTGGCTATAGACGATGGATCGTGTGGTGTGTTCTGGATGGGAGCTGGATGCATGTAGGTAACTGTATGAGTCAGTGGGTTTTCTGTAGAGAGTGGTGTCTAATTTTCCATTGTTGATTTGTACGGTGGTGTCCAGGAAGTGGATCTCTCGTGTAGAATGGTCCAGGCTGAGGTTGATGGTGGGGTGTAGGTTGTTGAAATCTCTGTGGAATATCTCCAGTGTTTCTTGGCCATGTGTCCAGATCATAAAGATGTCATCGATGTACCGTAGGTAGAGGAGGGGTGAAAGGGGACGGGAGTTGAGGAAACGTTGTTCTAGGTCAGCCATAAAGATGTTAGCATACTGTGGGGCCATGCGTGTACCCATGGCTGTGCCGCTGATCTGGAGGTATAAGTTGTTCTCAAACCGGAAATAATTGTGGGTGAGAACAAAGTTACATAGGTCTGCTATCAGGTTGGCAGTAGTGTCCTCTGGGATAGTGTTTCTAATTGCTTGTAATCCGTCTTCATGTGGGATGTTGGTATATAGAGCTTCTACATCCATGGTGGCAAGGATGGTATTATTGGGGAGGTTATCGATGTTTTGTAGTTTCCTTAGGAAGTCAGTAGTGTCTCGGAGATAGCTGGGGGTATTGGTTACGAAGGGTTTGAGAAGAGTGTCTACATAGCTGGATAGACCAGTAGTGAGCGTGCCAATACCAGAGATGATGGGACGTCCGGGGTGCCCAGGTTTATGGATCTTGGGAAGTAGATAGAACAATCCTGGTCGGGGGTCAGAAGGTGATTCTGTGAGGATTTGTTCCCGAGTAGCTGTGGGGAGGCTTTTAAGGAGACAGTGTAGTTTCTTTTGGTAGTCCAAGGTGGGATCAGAGGGGAGAGGTTTGTAAAATGTGGTGTTCGAGAGTTGTCTGGTTGCCTCCTGGTTATAGTCGGCCTTATTCATAATGACCACAGCACCCCCTTTGTCAGCTTTCTTCCACTATTTGATCTGAGGAAGTGGGTCTGGCCCATGAAAGCTCATCATCTAATAAACCATCTTGTTAGTCTTTAAAGTGCTACATTGTCCTGCATTTTGCTTCAGTTAAATTATTGTTTGTTCCATAGTCAGCATTGTTTCATGACAGCTCATCTTCCCCTTCTTATATATAAATACAATTGTGCTTTAAGACCACAGAAATCTTCATAAAAATCACCGTAAGCACAAAATGGAATATTTGTACTGACAAAAAAATACAAGCAAATATAGTACATTGCAAAGGTATGAAGGATGATATAGGGTAGGGGGTAGAGGAGAGGGTTCTCCTTCACATCTGAAATGTCACCATGCTATTCAAACCACAAGCATTGCAATGTGTTTCAGAGTGGCATATGTTATGAAGTGTTTCTGAAGAAAGGAGTTAGTGTTAGGTAAAAGCATTATGTCCTACCAGGAATTAGTTAAATATTCCTTATTTTGATTCCCTGCCAAAAGTATTCTGGACCTAGTCAAATAGAATCAGATCCAACACAAGGACAGCAATCCAAACTGATAGATATCACAATTGATATAAGTTTTTTTTAAGTTAATCTTTATATTTTTATTTTATATTTTATTTATTGGTTTGCAACCTAATAATGAGAGAGAATTACTGGCTTGAATTAACTTTTTACACACACCCCTTGTATTTTAAATGTGGATAATGTTCATAGAAGGCAGTTTGTAGACAAACTGCTATGAGCATGAACAGTTTTGTTCCTTAGGTCCCATTGTTTTTTCACAAAAAATATCTTCTTGGTACAGTAAATCTAAAAATGAAGCACAAGTGGACAGAGAAAGATACTTGGCCACAGTCCCAGCTGATGTAAATCAGATTAATTCCTTTAAAGATATTGTCATGGAAATGCACAATATAAAAAAGATTCCAAGTTGCCTTTCAGACTTTTTTGGAAGTAGCTTTATTTTCAGGTGTTGTTAAATCTGTGCTTCTCAGGCACCATGAAAGTAATACCAAATCTTAAAGGCAAGTTGAATATGCACTGCCAATACTGTGCTCTCAAATATAGTCTCCATGATGATTTTACAAATAGGCAATATAAAGGTGCTTGAAAAAAAAAAAGAAAGAACTAATGACTGCCTTACGTGAAACTCTTGTTTATAATCTTTGCACCAGACTCTTTTTTTCTTTCATTTACACTATGGAGCCTTCCAAAAGCAAGATGTCCTTGGCAAACCAGACACTCTACTCTGAATACAACCTAATTAAACTAAGTGCTACCTGTGGCAAGGATATTAGGTAATTCAGAGCATTCAAGTAACCAAAACAAAGCATCATTTTTCAGCTTTCAGATCCATTCTCAATAAACACAGTGTAGATTTTTTTGTAAAGGGCAAAGTGCTTTCTGATAAGCTAAATATGAGACCATATTGCCCCCAATGTTTAGGTACAGTAAATATCCCTATTGTGCTTCGTTGTCCTTGTTTCTTTTTTAAGTGTGTCTCATGATTAATCGGAGAATTAACAAAGATTAATAGGAATATGTAATAAAAGAAATATGAATAATTTAGTAGTGGAATGGAACAATATTATTAGTCTCTAGAATGAATAGCTAGATGAGATATGTTTTCTCACTCTGAGTTTCTCATTTTGGAGCATGTGTGACACAGCAGAATTTTTACAATTATTCATATTAGCATTTTAAATGTTCCCCTTGAAAATCAGTGAAGAACACAATGTTCTCTGGCAATTGAATACAACAGGCAGCTCAGTCATTGGTTCATCTGAAATCTGCTTGAAGTTCTTGTATTTGAACGATCTTTGAGTTGAAAGTAGGAACATATCCTTTCTGGAAAATACATTTCAAAGGCCTCTTCTAAATTCTTTTTAAAGTTACCAATTCTGCTTCATAGATATGCATTTTATATTAAGCAATTCTTTCTATATTACTGAGTTGGTAGATATATAGTACAGAGTTGGTAGACTAAAATGAATTGAAGGGTAAATAGTTTGCTATTCAGATATATCTCACTATACATAGATTGTAAATATATTCATTCTATGCTAGAAATAATTTTAAGGTGTTCTAAAATATGCAGAAGATGTGTTTTTTTTTTTAAACGGGATTATATTTGTTTGGTGATCTTGGCCCATATTGACATGAGACAGGTCACAATGTAGCAACTGTTCAATATCATCCTTTGGACTTCTCTGATAGAGCACTTAACTATCTCAGCTTTTCCAGTGATCATCTCATTTATCTAGGATTATTGCACTGAATTTACTGTTTGGTTTTCTTCCAGAACTGAAATGTCAAGTCCAGTGTCATGCATGCAGTAGCTTTGTGCTATGAGAGCTCAACAGATCCACCAAAAGCTGCTAGCAGTTGATCTTTGGATAGTGCTAGAAATAAATAAATCCTCTTTAGCAGATCAATATTCATCCCATTTAATGCTTGATGTGAAACTTGTGGATTTGAGTCAGTAATGCTGATGTACAGCTAATCGTTGAAAATGAGCATTAGGGCTTTTATAGCATGGCAACATGTTATCAAACAGGAAGAGAGAAAAGTGTTCAGTGACTCCTCCGGGAGGTGGGAGGGGAACTCCTCAGCAATAATATGTAATTCAATGCATATTTGTAACCTACACAATTTTACACTGTAGTGATTTTGTCCTTTATTGCAAGATTTATTCCAGTACTTTAGTTTATAAAACAGATTACTCACATATCACATGGCCCCCCAAAATATTTTATAAAGTAGATCTGGTATAAAATATCCCCCAGTCATGCATTTATCCAGACTATGTGCAAATATATGAAATATGCACTCTATGCAATACATTATATGTCTATGTACATGATGTTGAATGTCTGCATTATATATCCCTGTTATGCATCCCTATTAAGGGTCTGTAATGCATATTATACAGCTTCTTTACATAAGCAGACTTAAAAATCCTAGAGAAAAGTGATAATATTAATTGTTAAGGCAATATATTAAAAACTGAAAAGGGAGATTTTTAAAAGGCTAAATTGGCGGAGAACATTTTTCTCTACTTATGTAATATAATTTTAAAGATTATATAGAAAATCACAAGTTAAAAACATCATATTTCAATAGAACTTTCTTATGTTGTGCTAAAACTATATAATGAGTTATATTGGCATGGTATCCACATAAGTTAGTTTGCACAGTGTGGTCTTTGTGTATACCAGCTTCCAGTTCTGTCAGAGAAGGTAAAACACAGATATTTGGAGTGGCCAAGTGAGTAAACACTTGAAACAGTATTTCTGATGAGAAGCATAGTTGTATGGACTTCCCTCATGGCTAAGTTACCCATACGTATATTTGGAAAATACAACGTGAATGTATATGAATCATCTGTGCACTTAATGGAAATACTAGTATTTGATGGCCCAGATGGATTTGTGATACATTGTAACATTGCGTGTTGTCTCCTTTGCCTACATACTTTAATTTGTTTGGTAAAGACAGCAATGCCAGCATGCTGAAAACACAAGAGAGAGATTTAAATAACAAGCACCCAAGAACACCTGCTGACTCCAGGTGTCCAGTGCATGTCTTTCACCTTGATGGCAAGATGATAGCTTCTTTCATAGTGCTACGAATATCAACCCTTTACTCCTCCTCTTAAAGGGCATAGCCAGCAGGATTTCAATTTGTTGTGAGCCCAAGTTTTGCAGGAAAGGATGTGGGAAACAGTGAGGAAGATTACATTTATCTGCAATACAATAAATCTCTGAGAAGCAAAGAGGTGTCTAGCTATGTTTCATGCAATGATCTGCAGATATTTAAAGTGCAAGGATTCTGTATGTCATTGCAGTATCTATCAATGGAACTTAGATAAAAGAAGACTGTTAACCAGATTTAAAAGGCTACCAAAGGGCTATTTAAAGTGATGCAGGGCGGAGGAGGGGTATTTCCTGTAAATTAATATTGTCTTTATCCTTTCCTATCTTCTTTTAGTTCCACAAGCTGCATATCAAAATGTTATGTACAGAACCTGGTTGGTATTAAAACCATTCTGTTTAAAATATTTTCATCTGCTAGAATAATTTTGGAGAGGATTTGGAGGAATAGCATTTTTTTTCCTCTAATGAAAAACAAAGGGATCAAGGAAACATGCCTGGGTTTTCTAACTGATAAAGGAGCAAGTATCATCTTATAAAAGTCCACTCACTCATCATTCACACACTGTGAACTAAGAATTTTACTCAGGGAAAAACTCCCAGTGACAAAAGCCTCTCCCAGTCTGCAGTACCCTGCTTAGTCCAGGTATATCTCAGTGGATGTGCCACTGAAAGTCAATGCTTCTTCAGACAACTCTCTCTGCTTCTAGGTTCTCTCCATGATGGGCTCAGTCACTGGGACACAATTCTTACAAGACTCATGGTGCTAGGTGAGGGAGAAGTAATAGAGTCCATAGTAGGACAGCCATTACTTTCCTTGACCATCCTCAGGATCCAAGAGGATTTACTCCAGGAGGAGGTTGCTTTCCAGGAAATTCCATGAAGTGAGCCTCACAGTGTTTGTTTTCCTCTATGGTCCCCTTAAGGTAGCTGTTGGTGCCATAGTAGGGTTAAATAAGGATTTAATAATAACAAATACTACAAAATCTATGCTGAATCCTGAAACTTTTTTGTAAGTAATCCTTACTGATAAGTAATTCCATGGAAGTCACTACTTGTTTGTGTAACTAAGGGTTGCAGGATTAGAGCTGATAAACAGTTTTGTTGGTAGTCTTCATGTACCACAGCTACAGGAAGTTTAAATAATGAAAAGCAGGTAGGAAATATATCCAATTAGATAGGCTTCCTCACTGTGCTGATCACTTAGGCCCAGATTTTTAATTTTTTTAGGTTTTAAATTTGCTGTGTTCAAAAGAGATCTGGGCACGTAAGAATCCCAATCCTATCGGCAGTCATAAACTTTTAATGAGGCCTACATAAATGACATTTTGTAGCACTAAAGATTTGTCCTGTCTTTAAATATACAATATGGGGGACATAAAAGTTGCCCTTTCACAAGTAATCTAGGGATAATTTATTGTAGGCTGCAGATTGTAAAACAAAACAAAGCAAAAAAAAAATCTTTCCAATATGTTGATTTTGAAGTCAACTATTTTTTAAAGGAAGAAAAAAAAATCCTTTTGCATTGCTTCAGTAAAGTTTTTCTAGCACTGATTATACAAACTCTTCTTCATCTTTCTCATTGCTGAAGAGGGATGCAGTTCCCCGCTATTAATGGCTCAACTCTGATCCTAGAAAAGACCTCTACACTGTACAACAATGCCAAAGAATGACTAAGACACTGCACTGATTCTTTTTTTTTTTTTAATGATTCTTTGAAGTTCAACCTGAATAGCAAATGTTTTGGCATTCTCTAAAAAAAAAAAATGGCTCTTTGCCGGATTTTTGTTTTGTTTTTGTTCTGCCTTCGGAACCCATAGGCAGGTTCAGACAGGAAGTGCAGCGTGAAAGGCGAGGCTAAATCCGGCGGGGAGGTGGGGATTAATCATAGCAAAAAGCTGCAGTGTGATCCTGAGCCTCTTTCTTAGTGGTATGACATAGAATTAAAATACTCACAGTCATATAAGTATCCACATTTTTATCCACAGCAAATCTAGCAGACAGTTGTAAAGTGAAGTCACTCTGCTATTACAGCATTTAGGAGCATTTTTTCACAATACACATGCTGAATACTTAATTTTTTTTTTAAAAAAAAAAGGACAAAGGAAGTTTTAAAAACAATTCAAGCAATATATTATGTAGTTACCATAATCTGCCATGACTTGAACAATATAAGGCAATTTTTGCATAGAATCTTTAACAAAAGCTATTTGTGCACAAACTTTTTACAGTTGACATAATACAAATAAACAACAGCAGTGGAAAACAGAAAATAAGACATTATATACAAGGTAGAATAGGCTAAAACTTTACACAATGTACAAAATGGGGAAAATATTCTCTCTTTTTCTCCTTTCTTCAGATATTTTTGATCTACTGGAATAAGGAGACGTTAATAAGTTCTTGACCCGCTCAATGAGACACTAACTGGAAAAAATAGGATGGTCTGATTCTCATTTACATTTACACTGCTTTACAGTCACTTTAAACCCATTTTATACAAACAATCTAGAGTGGCCTTTTTGTAAATGCAACTCAGACTTGGAGACTCATTACATGGAAAAATATTTACAGACAATACAATGCTTTTTTCATATAAATGTATGCCCTTAATTTATTCCAGAATTTTATGATTAGCCAAAAAATACAAATGTTTTGAGTATTTGGCTTAGATCAGCATCCAAAAGTTTGAATAAGATATTGGAAGAGCTTAAGTTTCATTTGCATCTATTTACAAGACACAGAGTAAGGCCTGCACCTGTTCCTGCTCTTATGAAATCACTTGGAGTAGAGGGTGCTCTGAACAGCTGAAAATCAAACCTGCTTATCTCAAGATGAGGAAGCATCCAAAAATCAGAGCAGATTTTCAAAATTGTAAGTTATATACATTACAATTGTGGCTCAAACTAATGGCTAAAATAAAAAAAGACAGTGAAATCCCTGTCAAAAAATCTAAAAGACCATCAAATGATGTTACAGATATTTCTTATAATTCTTTTAATACAACCATTTTATTGTGTTTTTTTTTATCACAGTCCAAAGAGGGCATCTGCTGCCTGAAAATGTATTGCTGTCTTCACAGAGAGCTATATCTTAAGGCTGATAAACAGTCCTAACTTGCAAAGAAGAGCACAGAATTTGCATGCAATAATACGGACACAGTGTGCCAAGCAAACAAAATTAAACCCCTCTTTGTCAGGCTGCAAAAAGGTAAATGGACAAAGCTCTCATTCTCTTCCTTTTGAATGTCTGAGAACAAAAATGAACAGCAGGGGGAGCTCAAGCATGGCTTAAACTCAACAAAATAGAGCAAATAGAAAAAAAATATTTGTAAAGGGTGACAAATGGTGTGCTGCCCTCTTTTGAGCCATTTGTGTAAAGCAGCAATTCCTAAAGGGAATCTCAACTCCCTCAAGTTCCTTCTCTCCCTGTAAAGCATATTATAGCAGAAAGATACTGCGACTGTCGTTCTTCCTGTGGCTCCCCAAAAGAGTGACCCCATAAATGGACTTTTTAACTTGCAAAAAGCTCTTTCAGATGAATAGAGCATTTGTATAATTAGTCTTCTAATTAGATTTGATTGTGTGATATGCTAAGTAAATAGACAGACAGACAGATAATTCTTTCTTACAGGGATCTCCCTTGTGTCGGTGTTTTTTTTATATGTTCTTCACCAAAGGCGTGGGGTGTTTGCATTGGCTTCTCACACATGCAATTTTGAACCCAACTACATTTCATAGTCATGCTAACATTTGATTTCTGTGCAAATCGGATCTAACACAGACAATACGACTCACAATTAAGCCACAGAGTACAGGTCTGTATCTAAACTGTCCCAAAGTCCAGGACTCTTCCGACTGAGGCCTAAATATCCCTGAACTATCAAGTCCATCTGTTTTCAGGAAAGAAAAAAAAAAGCACACGATGCATTGTTTGGCAAACCATGAGAACTGCTCCATTTTATATGTGGCTACAACGCAAAACTGAAAGGGTCAAAAAGCATCCTTATGAGCCTGATTATTCAAAGATAAGTACTGATGGCCATTGCAGGACTTCAGTCACTATGGGATTCAGCTCTCCCACTCTTTGTTTTCATAGACGCATAGAATCATAAAATACGAGGACTGGAAGGGACCTTGAGAGGTCATCGAGTCCAGTCCCCTGCTTTCATGGCAGGACCCAGTACTGTCTAGACCATCCCTGATAGATATTTATCTAATCTACTCTTAAATATCTCCAGAGATGGAGATTCCACAACTTCCATAGGTAATTTATTCCAGTGTTTAACCACCCTGACAGTTAGGAACTTTTTTAATGTCCAACCTAAACCTCCCTTGCTGCAGTTTAAGCCCATTGCTTCTTGTTCTATCCTCAGAGACCAAGAAGAACAAGTTTTCTCCCTCCTCCTTGTGACACCCTTTTAGATACCTAAAAAAACCCTCTAAGTCTTCTCTTTTCCAAACTAAACAAGCCCAATTCTTTCAGTCTTCCTTCATAGGTTATGTTCTCTAGACCTTTAATCATTCTTGTTGCTCTTCTCTGGACCATCTCCAATTTCTCCACATCTTGCTTGAAATGTGGTGCCCAGAAATGGACACAATACTCCAACTGAGGCCTAATCAGCGCAGAGTAAAGCGGAAGAATGACTTCTCGTGTCTTGCTCACACCACACCTGTTAATGCATCCTAGAACCATGTTTGCTTTTTTTGCAACAGCATCACAATGTTGACTCATATTTAGCTTGTGGTTCACTCTAACCCCTAGATCCCTTTCTGCCTTTCCCTTTCTGTTTTGTGTACTGTGTGATAAATAACAACATGAAAGGACTCTATGCTTGAAAAACTAAATTCTTTATTAAGAAAAGTATTAAAAGAGATGCTTCAGCTGTTGCTAGCATTCTAACCGTGTGGACTGTCTTCCAATCAAATCTGTGCTTCTCTCTCCAAGCTTCATGCCAATTGCTGATCTTCCCTTTGAAGAATTGTAGTTGCTGTGTCTTTTCTGCAAGTATTTTTTACCTTGCTGAGGCCAGAGTTTTCTAGAAGGCAGCCGAACCTAAGGACATAGCCTTTACCTCCAATTCACTGCAGCTTGTTAGGCCTCATGTTTTATCACTGTTGGTGGGAGACTTGTTTCCATCCTATTGTTTCGGTGGTGTCTCATTGTTTTTTTATGTTGCTCATATACCTTGTTTCTTCCGACTTTTCTACATCAGACCATATGATGGCTGGTATTGGCCTTCACCTCCTGTATTAAGATAGCCCACTGTCTGTTGCCACTCTGTAGCTATCTTCAGTTCTACGCTCTGTGTTGCTCAAAATTTTCATTTTCTCACCAACAGAAGTTGGTCCAATAAAATACATTCTCTCACCTACCTTGTGTCTCTAATATCCTAGGGACAGCCATGGTACAACAACTCCGCATGCATCATATGACCTACATCCAACTGCAGCTTAGACTGTAATCTTTTGCCGTTGTTTTGTGTGGCTATTTGATGGCTGACTCAGATCTCCTTACTTGTGAGCAGTGGCTTTAGGTCCATAGCTCCTTTGTTGTATCAGGCTGCCTGCTTAGCTCGGTATTCTTAGTTCCATCTGCATGTTGTCCATTGTTTCTCTGACTACTCCATTTGGGAAGCAGTGTTGGTTTCTCAGCCCATCAGTCCCTATGCTCAGCTACAATCTAGTTCCTGGGAGTGTATTTCATAATGGCCAAACACTGCCAAGTAGGAATCCTTTCCTATCTAGTTTGCTTTTGCCATCGGTCTCTTGACTGTCTTTACTGCTGACACTGCTCTCCCATTGATTTGTGCTTAAATACCCATTTTCTGAATGCTGGTGCTGAATCATCTGAATTCTGTACAGTGTACTGTGGCATTGTCTGAATATAGCTCAGATATGTCATACTTTGTGAAATGTGCCTTCAGTTTTCCTCATCACGTTCATTGCTCACATGTCCTCCAGATAATATTGTGCTCCAAAATTGGAGTCATGATCTACAGTGACCACAGAATTTCTGTCATTAAAAGCAAATTGGTCTATTCTGACCTTACCTCAGCATCGGCTTAAGATTTCATGAGGCTGTAAAGCCACCTCCTGTTGTTGCTCATTATGCTTTTTGTCCATCTCACACTGTTCCATAAACACTCTGAACGGGGCATTCATGCCTGGGCAGTATATACAGTGCTTACCTCATCTCTGTCACGCCTGGATTCTCTAGTGTGAAGCATGTATCGGTCTCCTGATGTCAGCCTTTACAAATCTAAATGCTGTCCTGCACACATAGTTCACCCCCCTTCTAGTAGAATTAACAATCTGTGGCACTTATTCCATTTGATCTGGTCAGCTAGGATTATAAACTGTTTTATTGCTTTTAGGACTCCATCTTGGTTGGTGCTTTGGCTTGCCTAAAGCTGTCATCCTGTTTTACAGAGTTATCTGTGCTGTAATGTGGAAGGTATGCCCTACTCAGTATATCTGCCACCAGTAGTGACTTCCTTTTGCAGTACCTAACAGTCTGTATGCACATGGCTAGAATGCTAGCTGCAGCTGCAGCATCTCTCTAAATCATCTTCTTAATGAAGAGCCAGCTTGATTTTGCAAGTTTTACAGGTTAGTTTTACAGAGTTCTTTCATGTTATTACCTGGCACCTGGTACATAAAACATGGTGCTAGAGATCCAAGGAGCCCCACAGGATGAAAAAGTTTAACAAGCAAGCAAAACAAAATTTAGAAACATAGCAAATGTGGAACAGGAAGGACTCAGACCACATTAAATGGTCTGAGACAAAAATCTATTACAACCATGGAATCAATGAAAGCAAGAACTGAGACTGTATACAAAACTGGTCATGAGGGGAAATGGTGAAAAAATGAAGATAAAGAGCTTCTTTTAATTCTCTTATTGGGAAAGGTGACTAATGAAACACTGTTTCCAGGAATTATACTAAAAATATGGAATAGCTGATAAAAATATATGATGAGTTCTCTGACTCCAGACAGAATGAGATTGTAAACAGATACTGGATTTTTTGTTACCCTAAACTAAGCAGCAGAAGAGAGAATAGATACTTACATGGAACTGAAAACTCTGGTACCCATATGTTAATTCTGAAACATTAAAGATTCCCTAATTAGAGACAGAATAGTTTGTGGGACTTATAGGAGAGTTTATTGAGAGAAGGAAATCTAACCCTCATGAAATGCCTCCAAATAGAAAAGGCAGATAAACTGTCATAGCCACTAGTGCAGAACATGTACACAGGCTCAAGCTAAAGGGCCCCAGAAGCAGAACAGAGACAGGCTGACCAAGAATGCAGGCAGCATGAGCCAATGTATGTTCTCTAAAAAGCAACATAAGAGTCAAAAAAAGAAAAATGCACTGTTTATGGTATGGGAAACAGAGCCACTTTATATCCCCATGCCTCAGCTAGTCCAGGAAGTAAAAAAGTAGCAGCAGATGCATTGACTGAGGATGTAGAAACTTTCAATGAAAGGGAGGATATCTGCAGTGTGACTTTAGAGGATCGAAAGTCTTTTGATATACATGCACTGAAGATAAGGCTCCAGCCATTCAGCGGCCATATTTGCAACTATGTTATTAGATCAACAACCAATTTGATTCCAGCTGGATTGTGGAACCAGCTGCAGTGTGATCCCAGCAACACTGATAAGCAGTACTATTAGACTAGATAATGTGACTAAGTGCTGGTGATATACAATAAAATCATTCCGAGGCCAGTGGGCAAATGCAAGCTGTCAGTAAAAACTCTGCAAAACAAGAGATGTTACAGTTTGGAGTATGGTAATTGACACGCAGGAATACCATCCACTGCTGGACAGCAGGTAAGTACAAGCTACAGATTTGGTTCCAGTACATCAGAATGTCCTTAACTTGAGAGAGGCAGGAGTACATTCACCTTGAGCCCTGACCAGCATTCTAACAGGCTGCAAGGACAAGGACATGTAAGTCAAGGACATGGACATCTAGAGGACAGGCTGAAGTTAGAAATAGATATCTATTTGCAGCTTTTGTGTCTACTGAAATTTACCATGGCCGTTTGCTCTGGCAGAAAGAGCTGAAGAAAGAGCTGGTGAATCTGCAAAACAGAAATGTTACTACTCCCGTTGAAATTAGCATAGAATGGATCAGCAGCTTAGCAGTAGTGAGAAAACCTGCAGATAGAGCTCTCCACTGTTCCAAACCCACTGAAGAGAGCATTGGAAAAACAGCACTACCATTACCAAAGACTGAAGA